GAGTTTATTTTTTTATTTTGAGAGAGAGGGAGAAAGTATGCACATGAGTAGGGAAGGGGCAGAGGGGCGGAGAGGGAGAGACAGAGAGAGAGAATCCCAAGCAGGCTCTGCACTGACAGCTCAGGAACCGTGAGATCATGTCCAGAGCTGAAATCGTGAGTCAGCAGTTTCACCAACTGAGCCACTCGGGCGCCGCAGATTTTCCTTTCAGAAAAATCACTCTGACTGCCTTGTGGAGAACAGATTGTGGTATCAAAGCAGGAGGCCAGATGGGAGGCTTTGCTGCAGTCCATGTGGCAGAAACAATAGTGCCCACGCTGTCACTGGAAGAAGCTTGTGTATCCAAAGAGGTGACAGTAGTAATAAGAAACGGGGTCAAGCATGACACTCAGGCATCTGGCTTGGACAACTAGATGTATATCTTGCTTTCGTAGAGGTGAGGGATGCCAGGGAGGAGCCGTGTGGGGGACAAAATGAAGCAGTTTGAGACCTGTCGAGTCAAAGGTGCCTGGTACAGGTGTCTAATGAGGAGCTGAGTTTATTGTCATGGCACTCAGGATGATCCAGGCTGCGAACACCATGGAAGAGAAGGGCATCACCCCCACGAGGGGAGAAGAGTAGGGAACCAAGGGGGACACTGGACACTGACGTTTAAGGGATGAACCAAAGGAGAGGAAGCTGAAGAGGTGGCCAGAGAGGCAGGAAAAAAGCCAGGAGCATGAGGTATCATGGGAACCTAGAAGGAATGGGCAATGATACCCACGCACGTGCACTGGCTGGATCGGTACCAAGTAGGTCAGTGGGGACCTGAGGGAGAGCAGTTCTGGGAAGAAGGTGGGGTTTGAGGTGACAGCTGTCCAGAAGGGAGAAGCGGGTGGGAGCAGAAATATCTAGGGAAGTGTTCATTCCCCCTGAAAAGCGGCCTTTGGGGAGAAGAAGGAAACACAAGAGATGGACGTGACTGATTATCGATTGTGTAAGGGAGAGAGGCCAGGGGAGATGCCAGTGAGGTAACAGGAGGAGCCCCTGTGGGTGTGGGGGTGGGGGACAGCCAGGACTGATCAGGTGAGCAAAAGAGGAAGAGCCACCAGTGCTGAAAGACAGGAAGGAACTTGGCCAGGGGCACAAGGCAGTGACAACTCAGGCCAAACCCAACATCTGTGTTAACCCTGTAAGCAAGCCTTGTCAGGTGCCTGATAGTCACTCCCCCTTCCTTCGGTACAAATACCCCCATCCATGGGTCAGAAGGAAAATGGGCTTCATCTGACTCCTCACCCCGAAGCGACATCAAGATGACAAATACTGTACTTATTTATTAAGAACACATTGATGAATCCTCCATACTTCCACAGGTCGTTTTTTTTTTTAATTTTTTTAAACGGTTATTTATTATTGAGAGACACAGAGAGAGCATGAGCAGGGGAGGGGCAGAGAGAGAGAGGGAGACACGGAATCCGAAGCAGGCTCCGGGCTCTGAGCTGTCAGCACAGAGCCCGACATGGGGCTCGAACTCACAAACTGCGAGATCATGACCTGAGTCGAAGTCGGAGGCTTAGCCACCTGAGCCACCCAGGCACCCCACAGGTCTTTTTAAAGTTTATTTTGAGAGGGAGGGAGAGAGTGTGAGCAGGGGAGGGGCAGAGAGAGAGGGAGAGATCCACAGGGCTTTATTCAAGCTTGTAGGAGAGCATTCATTCCATCTATCAAACTGTACGAGAGTTGGGGCCCAAGCCTTCTTCACCTGTGTCCCAACACCAAGCTGTCCGTGTCTCCTGGAGTAACTCTGCTCTGCACCCGAGCCCGAAGGGGATCCCGGGCCTCCGAGACTTTTCAGTCAAATGGGAGGGCTAACCCTCATCAGCCCAACTCCAGACAACACAAGGTTTGTAGGGAACAACACAGGGATTGTAGGGAAAGAGGCCAGAGGGGCAGGGTTAAGAAAGGATTTCCTTTGTAAGTTGCAGAATTGAGGCTTGCCACAAGAGGGGCGTTTGAGAATCGCAGCACGGAAAGGGGGGACCCCGCGGGTGGAGGGAACAGCAGAAATCAAGCACCCAGCAAGGAAAGCTGAGGTGAGTTTCATAAAGAGTAAAAGAAACCCAGAAGCCCTTCCTGTACCTCCTACCTACTTTATCTCATGGACTCCTCCCCACAGCACCAGGAACCAGATCCTAAAATTCGATGATGAGTAAAGTGAGCCTCCGCAGGCTGCACACTTCCAAGGTCGGAGGGCTAGTAAGTGATGAGCTCTGGATGCGAACTCCAGCAATCTTACTCCAGAGCCCTCCTGCCCAGCCTTATACTACACTGCCTGCCGGGATTAGCCACTAATTCTCTCTGCTGGCTGGTGAGAAAAGGAGGAAATCAGACTGAAAGGGAGATGGTGAATCTTCCACTGGCCCTGTTAAACTACCGGCATCCTCCAAGCATTTCGTGCGCACGGTTGTAGGAGTGTTTCCCAAACTGGCGTGCCATGGACCCCTGCTCAGGAAGACCCCGATATTTCTCCTACGGTGAAACAAGTTTGGGAAATGCTACATGTTGTGTTCCCTCCCCCACCCAAACCGGGTTCATCACGGTGCAAACGGGCAGGTAAAGAAATCCTGCACCCTGTTTAACCCCGGACTCGGCCAACGTCTTGCTCACCACATTTGTGCGGCAGCTCTGTCACCCTGCAGAGCAGCGCTCCTCGCGCCCTTTCGGGAATCGCAGTGGGGCGCAGCGCAGGGGCCGGCATCGGCTTCCCGCTTCGGCTTCGGTGTCCCGGGCGGCCCCCTTCGGCATCCGAGAGCCACGTTCCCAACCTACCGTGCGGCCTCTGGACAAGTTCAAGCTCCGCTTTTCTTAACTGTAGAAAAGGAAACAAAGGTATGGGATCTTGCCTTGCAGGGTGTCAAGAGGACGAAATGCGTGGAACACGGGTTTCTTTTCCTTCTCCCCGACGCGGGACAGTGTCGCGGCGGGTTTCCGGGGGACGCGGGAGGACAGCCTCTTCTCCGGGTTTCCGCCCGGTTGCGGGCTCCGGAGCTCCCAGGGGGCCGCCGGCGGGCAGCAGGGAGACGCGGCTCCCGGGCCGGGTGACGCGGCGGCGGGAGCTCCTCGCAGAGTCAGGGCGCGGGCCGGGGAGGAGGAGGGGCCGCGGGCCGGGCCGCCTCGCCGCTTCCGGCGGAGCCGGGGGGAACCGGGCAGGCGGTCGGCGGCCAGGGGCCTGCGCGCCGCACTTCCCCTCGCCGGGGGCGGCCGGCACCGCGCGGGAGCCGGAGCCAGCCTCTCCGCCAGCACCGCGGCGGGGTCGCCGCCACCCACGCGCTGGTGAGCGCTCGCGGGGACGGGGGCGGTGCCGGGTGGGGGTCACCGCGGGTGGTGGGCGGGGCGGAGGAGGGTCCCCGGGGACTGCGGGGGCCCCTGCGCCGGGACCGGCCCTGTCCCTGTCCCTTGGCCGGGACGCCGCTTTCCTCTCTCCTGCCCCCTTTTCCTGGCTGCTTCCAGCACCCCGAATACGGAAACTGGGTGAGCAGGCTCTCCGAGAAAGTTGTCACCTTCTCCGTCGCAAAGGAGCTCGTGCAGGGAACCTCCCCCCACCCCCACCCCCGCGCCCTTTAGTTTGTGTTGAACAGCCCGGCTCGGTCAGGTTGTTTCCATCTTTAACTGTAGAGAGAGGGTCTCTACCACGGTCTCCTCGCATCCTTCTTTGCTCTTCTGATGGGTCTGTGTGTGGGTGTTCCAGCGAGGAGATGGCTTTAGTTAGGGTTCATGAGGCCTTTCATGAACATCTGTCAAGGACTGGGATACCTGTGCAGTGCTGGAGTGACAGCATTGGACAGGAAAGGTTCAGCCCTGTCGTCTCCCTGGAGACGGGTAAATTAGAAATTACAACTCGCCCTGCTAAGTGCCACCGAGAGAGAGGGGCAGCCCGGAGTACTCTGGTAGCTAGGACACCTAAGCTGGGGGGCACCT